AGTTTTGCATCTCCTTGGTTATTTCGTGAGTAAGAAGCTAGTAGAAAAAATGACAAAATTGATATCAGTACTTATTTTTCCACGAAAAATTTGTATTATCAACGAACCAGGATCGGTGGCAGACATCAGTGAGCCAAAAAATAGGAGCTCCTTGAATGTGAACGGTGATGAGAATAACCAGCACAACGAATACATTGACAACCTAAATTCCAAAAATATTCACTTACAAATTTACGAATTAAAAATTCCAAAAAAAAATTTTTTTCCTTTTTTACGTCCAAGTCCGTGCATAAAAATATGGATAGCTTCTAAATAATGCGTAGTCAGATTTCTTCTACATGAATTTTTTTTTTTTTGTTTTCGAAGAACAAATGGGATAATTATTTTTTCTACAGCAATGAATTTGCGTGGATTAACAAAGTGGTGGATTTTTACGGATTTTATGTGTGCGATTTTTGGAAAAAAGTCAAAAAATTTTAAGCAATAATAGCATCGCAAGCAGCGCAATATGTAATGTTTTAGAATGAAAACATTTAAACGAACCCAATAACAATTGCCGAAATGGTGGTACCAACAAATGCAAATGTTAGAATGCTGCCAATATTCCGGAAAAAGTGTCTCTAAATTACATAAAAACATTTTAAAGTTTCTTTGATTAAATTCTTTCATGTATTTTGTTTAGACCAAAAAAGCACTGCTTGGTGGAGTTAACCCGCTGGAATTCTGACTTTTGTCACGTAATGATTTATGGTTTTTTGCTAGAGATTACGTAATTAGCAACTGTATCACTATGATGCAACATCCTGATCTCTGGTTCAACCTTTGGACACCCTACTCCCGTTAAAGTTTTGCAATCTTAGTGATCTGTGACCACTGTATAAGTAGGCGGGCACCGTTGGGAATTGTGCGTTACTCGAGCATTACACGAGGAACACTGGGTGGTTACTTGTATCAGCTGCCGTTATACGAGCATTGTTGACATATTACCTGTAATCTGATTTTTTCGTGCACCTATCTCCAATTCCGGCTTCAAGAGTTGCTCCTATTATTACAGACCCGACTCCCCAGAACCCTGCCACCTCCTTTCTTTTCATTATTACCTCCATTTCCCTGCTGCGTTGTATAAATTTAGTTTTTTGTATATAATTATAAACATATATATAACTAGATGTTTCGATACTTACACACACAGAGGGCACTCACATTAGTTCAGCTTATTAACTTTTAGGGTCGCGATGCTTTCGCTTCGTCTCCTGAAGGGAATAGCAAGGCTTTAGCTGTTTCGAGATGTTCTTAGTACGTGTTGATCATCAATACTTCATCCAAAACGCTGCCAACCCTAGACTACGACAATGTATTTTGACATCCCTAGTAAAAATTCATTCTTACAATCCAGAAAATGAAGATCACCGGAAATAATTTTCAAAAAAAAAACGTCCAAATGAGATTTCTAGCTACAAAAGTTACCTGCCCCTGATCATCAAGTCTTTCCCTTACCATGCGAGAGGGTTAGGCAGTAACAAAAGGACAAAAATTATAAGTTTAGCAAAAACAACAATTACCTTCTTTAAACTATAGCCAGCATTGAAAATAATTGGCGGAAGAAGCAGATTGAAAAATATTTCTGGCGAAAATACAGCCT